AGGTAAAACTGCACCCCCCCCCCCATATTACATTAGTTATTTGTATTGCAGTAGGCGCTTTAGCTCCTTTTATATCAGGACAATGCAGTTTTTCACAAGAATCTTAAGCCTAAGTAATGGTACATGCCCCTCAAATTCTCTAAAGCTTGATGCATTTACCTACAAGTGAAGTGATCCTATGCAATCACAGTTGGAACAAGTTAAAGGAGTAACAATGCCAAATCCTCTGGCAGACAGAAATGACAGTGAGTACCAGTCCTCTTTTTCCTCTAGCTGGGGCAGCATTCCTATCACCAGGAATGAAGACGATATAAATTAGCAATTCTTATTCACCAGATTTCAAATAAATGTTTAGATTGTGACCACCTAAGAGTAAAATACAATTAGAAAAGACAAAATGCAGTAAAAATGCCTTCTGTAGAATTATTACAAAGACCCAGTCTACATTTGTGGCAGACCCAGCAAAAGTTCTAAAGTTTCACACATCTGCTCATTGAGATTGAAGTATCACCTGAGAGCATCACTTAATCAATATATATAAAAAGATAACTATAAAATCTTGCACACAAATTACCACTTTTTCCTTGTCATTTAAGGATTACACTGATTTTATTTTCCTCATATAAAAGGAAACATTTTACTCTGTGCTGATTTAACAAATATTCTTAATATATTCATAACAATAAAGCAGCTAAAAAGCTGTTCTAATCTCTCAAAGATTCTTTATCATCTGCACATATGATATATATTGTAAACAATCACTCCAAAAAATAATTTTGTTAAAGTGATTATATTGAACTCAGAATTCTGGGATTCTCATTCTCCCTTCTCATTTTAAATCAAAGATCAGCTTCATTTTTTAATAAAATGGAGCTTTAATTTTCTACTAAAAACAGGTAGGCATGCAATCAATATAATACAATGTATTTAAAATGTCAGAAAAAGGGCAAGTGTTCAGTTATGAAACTGGAGAAAGGAACAATTCTCAAATAGGCCACAGGAGAGTAGTATTTTGTAAACATTCTGCTGGCTCTAAGGTGTTGCAGATGCTGTAGAGAGTGCGGTCCAGTTCAGCACCCAAGAGGTACAGAGAATCTATTCAAGTGTTCTGTACTTCAGTCAATTTCCATGCAGCGATGGCACGTGTAATAGACTACACATAAAGACAGAGTAATGAAACAAAGGTGGTTATTGAGCTAATACTGACCTCACAGAAACATAGCCAATCGTTACAAGTTCATTGTAATCTTTAAATGCAAGTTTTCCAGGTCATTACATTTTCTAACACAGCAACGAAACTGTTACTCTTGCTGCAGATGAAGCACAGAACTAGATTCTCCACTTGTAGCTCACATAGACTGTATATCAGTGGCAGTCTGGACACTACCCTCAGCCTAAAACATCCCAGCGAGATACCATCATGCAGAATGTCACCTTGCTTTGTTTGCAAGAGTAACGCCCTTCTCCGTGCGTCGGAGCGAGAAACACAGGTAGTGGAGGGGGGGGATGGGAAAGCAATGTCCTTATGCAGAAGAAGAAATCCTCAGGCAGTGTGAAGAGGCCACAGATCTTGAAAATTCAAATGAAGGCTGTTTTTTCTCAACTCAGTTCTACAAGAGAAGGATTTCTCTATCAAACCCATTATCTTCAGGTAACATTAATATCTTTGGAGTCCCTGAGGTACTACAGCTCCATATAACCACCTTGGACAAATGGAGAGATTTAGTATACAGATTAACAAGGTGGAAGTCGATATATAGCACCCTGAGTTGCAAGTGAAACAATAGGAATGGGCAACCCATTCCTCAACAGCCAAGAGATGCAGAAGAAAGTGCAGAGGAGGTAATGGCTAGGGAATTAAGAGATACATACTGCACAGGAGAACAGGAAAAAAAAAAAAGTATTATTTCTAAAAGGCCTTTCCCTGTTATCAGAGCAGCGAAGAAAAAGACAGCAGTCAGAGGGAAGAGCTCTCTGAGAAAGGCCCTGAAGAAATATCGCCGTCTAGATGTACAGTCGAACCATAATGCAAAAGCAGACAAGTTAGGCAGTTTTGTTCCAAGTGTGCCCCAAAGGTTAAGCACTCTAGCAATGACTATAAGAACTGTCAGTGATCACTGACCTGTACTCTGGATATAAACCAGGAATATAAATAGGTATTTTTTCCCCTGAAACTACAGAAAAAATACAAAGAGGAAAAATACAAAGTCACAATCGAATCAGAGAATACTTTCCATAGTCAAAAATGAAATACAGGCTTCAGAAACAATACAGCCATCTGCTCTGTATCTTAAATAGCATTAATCATAAAAAAGAGGTGCTTGTAAAATCTTACATTTGAAATATTTTATTTCCCAGTATATTGCTAAATAATTTTGCAGTTAAACCAAAAAGGAAGAAATATCAGATATGAATATGGAATACTTACAACTAGAAAATGGTTGCTGAACCATCTGAATTTCTATAAAAGCATCAATAAAAACGTAAAAACATGGTCTCACAAAATTAATTAGAATCTGAAATTGCCAGATTGCTTCACAATGGCCACAATATGAATATTGATGGATTTTTGCAACCAAAAACTAATTGTGACTTTGCCAGAAGATGGCTTAATACAGCAATCAAAACATCTCTCAAAACTGGGATGTGTATTTCTGCAATTTCCTATTCTCTCAGCTATTCAGCATTCCGTAAGCAATTCTCATAAGAAAAAAAATGCTACCTGGTCACAATTTTACTCTCTTATGGAGTTGTGCTGTATCTCAATACATTCTTGAGAAAATAAAGAAAAGTGAATAAAAAGCTGAATAGAAATAGACACTCTATAAAAACTACCTGTAAAGTATCATAAGTCTGGAAAATATTTGTGGCTTTACACAGGCTACTGCTGATGCAAAGAAAAAAATTGCAATTTAACCATTTCATGAATATGAACAATGCACTTGTTCCCAGCCATTTAGAATGATCTGACATTCCAAATGTTTTTAAAAATTGGGTAATAAAAGAATTAAGTCAATACCCTTAAGTACAATAAATAATGGTGTTTATTATGGTCGGGGTTGCCCACGAGTGTTTGTTCCATATCTGCTTGGGACATTTGTAAAACCAGTTCTGAATCCTTGAGTTGCTCCCATTCCCGGTATTCCAAATCCTTGATTGAGTACACTGCTGTAGGGTGCGGATCCATGATTAAAGCCCAATCCATAGGGCCTTGTCTGAGTGTTTAAAAGGATGACTGGATTCACATTTTTGCCTGGAGTATTAAAAGAAAATTCTGGCGGTGGGCTGCTGGGCTTAGCTGGAGTGGATGTAACAGGGTTCAAATTATCAGCAGCTTTCAAAGATGGCATCGGAATAATATGATGATCCGAAAGGTTCAGAATATTGTTTGCAATAGGCACAGATGATAAGGTAGGTCTGATCCAGTCATCTTTGAAAATCTGAACAGTCAAGGTAGAGACCAATGTGTATAATCTGTTAGTGACATGGGCAAGTACCATTTGTTCATTTGCATCTCTCCGAATTCGGACATGTACTGATCCAGCCTAGAAAGTGATAAAAATAAGTTGGCTGTTAACTCTTACTTCAACGAAGATTCTCCGTATGCATTCAAGAAGAGGTAAGTTATCCTGCAGAGAATTATGCAAAGACCTTTTGGAGCGGAGACTACCGACTAAATTGAGAAACTTATTAAATAATTCCATAATTAGGATACATTTTGATCTTTCCTATTGCGTTGATCTCTTATGAACATATCAAGATCATCATTCAGGAAAAGTGAGTCTAAGCCAAACTATAAAATACAACATGTGATGGCAGGAAAAGAAAGGCAATAGTCAGGGAAAAAAAGGGGCCCAAAAAAAGAACAAAGTGCAGACAAACTCCATATGCCAAATTTAGGAAACACTGTGCTGTTGGAGCAAGCAAGAGGACCACACGCAAATTGGGACCATTAGCAAGAACAGAGGCAATGCCCCTCGTGGAACTCAGACTAAGAGTTTTCCCTGGACGTGCACGTAACTGCAGGCTGCCCCTGCCTTCCTCTCAGTAATGCTATCTCATTTACCTCGAACTACTGCTGCAGAAGAGAACAGGACACAAAACAGAACCCCTCACATGTTTTTTCAGTTCATATTTAATAAAGAACATGGTTCACAGCTTGTGCTATACAAGCCATTTTTACATCAGATAGCGCAGCTGAAAACGTGCAGGTCTCGGGAAGTTTCTACTACAATCTGGAAGATGCCAATAGGTAAATAGGCATACAAAGGTTTTGTAAATATCTGCAATCAAGCCAACAATGCTGTGATCCAGTATTTTGGGTGGCAGAATAGTAAACTGAAGGCTATTTTCACATCAGCAAGTCAGAACTGCTGCCTTTTTTTTTTTTTTTTTTTTTTTTTTAAGAAGGGTAGCATACTGGAGGAATTCAGGAGTAGAGAAAAATTCTAAGAGTCTTAATTTTCTGGCTGTCACAACATACCTGCATGAACTTAGGAATACCTGAGTTCTGTGTGATCATTCTGTACCACAAAAAACCCCTTCATTTCTTTCAGCTTACAGAATATCAGTACCCAACTGTAGTTGTTTTTTTCCACCCCCTTCCCCAGAAATGCTGAAAACATACGATTCAACTGTAGACCTTTGGTACCTGAAGGTTTACAGTTTTCTTTTTCTCCCCTCTGAGACAATTTACACTAATATACCATTTGAAAAAATGTCTTTACTATTGTTTGGGATTTTCTTCACTGCCAAAATACAAAAGAAATTCTACAGTTGCAAAATGCATGCTTTAATCCAGAGCTTTAAAAAAAATAAAGGACAGGGGAAGAGAAATTTCACAATAAATCTGAGTGCTAACTCCATCATATTTTTTTATATTTAAGATTTCAGAAGAAATACCTTATTTTATTAAAATAAAAAAATTAAAGTAGTAAGACAATAAAGACATAACTTACCAAAGTGCCAAAACCTAATGTCCAAAAATGCTCATTTCGAACTTCCAAGACACCATCCAAAGTTGAAACCTAATTTTACAGAAACATCCAGAAATATGAAAATAAGTTAGAAATGTTTCAAATCCTTTTAGAAATGTACTTTTACACATAGCTGAATAATACAGCATTTTCAGTAGTAAAATAAGAGCTTCCATACACAGAATGGATGCTATCTGTTAACGATGCCACTAACACTTATCTACTGTACTTTTGCCACCCTTAAGCATCCAAATCCATCAAAAAAGTGGATTTACATTTCAAGTAACTCTTGCTGCCAAATTGCAATATTCTCTCAACTTGATATGCTGTAAGTCAACAGCTGCCTGTACTCCTTTTCCTCCCCCCACTCACATTTGTAAACCACTTCAACCGTAGCTTGAAAAACAACAGCCTGCACTACTTTAACGGATTTGTTCCAGATACTATCCAAGATGAATAGTGTCATCCAGGTAAGATCCATATTTTCTACATGCAGCTAAAAAATAATATTAAAAAAATAATTCTTTAGCGATCTTCATGGACTACTCACAAAAACTCTTCATATTCCTGAATGCTTATATAATGTTAGCTGTGCACACTGCGTCATGTATTATATACTGACTTACCTCTCTAAGAAGTTTATCTAACTGGCCAATCACATGAGGTGGGGTTGTCTTTAAGAAAAAGAAGGGGGGAAAAAAAAAAAAGAAGAAAAAAGTTATAATAAAGATTAACTGGCCCTGTTAAGTAAGAGAGTCTTTAAGTCTGGTCTACCTACACAAGAGACCAATGGCATTAAACAATAAATTCTTACGACTTCATGATGCATATTTCTACTGCTCTTAAAATTCTTCTGGCACATCACAAATTCCCCTTGGAACACTTCCTATTCAAATGCTTAAAACAGATTTTATGTTTTTTAAAAAAATAAGGACATTTAACAAAACTGAAACCACAAAAAAACTTGTTTTGTGACGTTGCCTTACCTGGAGTAGTACTTTCCCACTGTAGACACTCATGGGATACATGGTACCAAATGTCATCAAAGCAATTGCTATAGCAGAGGCTGTATCTACAGCGAAATAATTGCTAGAAAGAAAGAACAATTTTAAAGAAAAACAGGTATTTACGTTTTTGAAAGGCATATGAATTTTCTTTTGATTCTTTTTCATTCTTTTAAATTATATACACTTACAGAATCTTACACACACTAATCTCATCTGAACTATACTTCTTTGAAAAAAAGACTAATATATTCATGGAGTTGCAATCCCATTCATACAAAATACAGCTTTTGATGAGATTATTCCTTTCATGTAAAAAATGCAATTTCCCATAGACTGGATACAAAAAGAGTTACTTTTTTTTTTTTAAACAACAACTGTACATACTTGATTTCAATGAGCATATATGTAATGCAAAGAGCTAGAGCTCCAGCAATATCAATCAAGACAAAAGGGTTCATTCGTGGCAGAAAGATGCTACTCAATCCTGGGATGATTCCACAAATACTGTAACAAAACAGAAAAAGCAGTTGTCAGCTAGCTGTTCATCATTACTTCAAAACCCAAAAGAGCTACACCCACTATTTCAGCACTTGACTTCAAATACACCTTGCAGTCACAGCAAATGATGTCTCTGAGGACTGAAAAGGCCCTTCTAATTCTGCTCAAAGTTCTGTATTAGTCTGACGTCAGCAAAAATTAATCAAGTTTAGATCCACGTCACATTCTCTCTCATATTTGAAACTCTTACATCTTAAATTTGCTTTATCTTCCCATCTACAAAACGTTATACAACACTAATCTTTAGGCAGTTTTTCTACATGTTAAAATATGTATCTTGTGCCACTTTCTATTTTCTGGTAACACAGCTAGCTGTGTCAGCTGTACATTACACAAGTACTTTACAGGTTCAGATAGCGCTATTACATAGATGTAAGTCTCGAGGGGTTTGCATATCTCTAGTCTTCAATCCATCTGCCACCTTGGTGTGCAAAAGTGCTCTAAAGCCAAAGCTAACTAATTCATGGAGTCTGAAAAGAGGGAGGAGACCAGCTAGCTGAATAAGAGGAGACCAAAAAACCCACGAGGGAACATTGGGAAAAGTTATTTATTTATAGTTATCTCCTACCAATGGGAGCATGAAGAGAGAAAACGGTTTCTGTACTTCCCAGTGAATGTACGTGCATGTCACATACTGGAAAATTTAAAGGAAAAGACAACATGAAATCTTCTGTTGTTCTGTTTAGAACCAACCTATGTTTAGGCATCATGTGCTGGTCTACTCCTGTAAAAATTTTAATCAATATAATTTATACAGGTGCAGATATTTTGTAATCAGCACTGCTTCACAGAACACATCTGAAATAGCTGTATACGTACTAACCAAATTTAATAACTTTAAAAAAATTGTTGGCATAAGTGTCTACAGGTTATCTCAAAACCCAGTAGTAATTCTAGACTCTTGATCTGGGAGCCCTTCAAGTTATCCGTGTCCTTCCCCGTAACACTGTGTTACCACATTGTTAAAGAAAAACTCTGCTAATGTCTGTGATTGCTGTCCACAGGTTTTTTGGTTTTTTACACTGAAACTCCAGGTACTTGGACAACCCTATTGCTAGTCTTCCAAAGCTGTTTTGCAGAATTTGGGTCTGATGATATAGTACCTTATACCCATATAAAATAAATTCTTCTGTTTAACAAGCCAGCATTCTCTGCTTTCCTCAACTGTATACAAAAATCACAACACGCAGAAACAGATGGGCTTTGCAGCATACTTAACATGTTATACAATATGGTTTAACATTCTTATTTTGATACTGACAGCATAAGTACTTGGAAGAACATGTACGGCTCAAAATAAACGTTTCTGACATCTGACAAAATTATTTGCAAACAATGTTATCTCGCATTCAGATATCCAATACAAGCAAGAGAGTTCACAGACAAGATGAATGAGCAACACTGCTTCAGCCCCTGGAAGACACAGACTTTCCAGTTTCCTGCTGGACAGGTGAGGAGTTTCCATAGCTATGTTTCAGTGAGTAATCTGTTTCATGTATCACATTTAAACTGCAACCATCCTAGTCATTTGCCCACCCCACAGAGTAAATAAACACAAATTACTACAAAATATATTGCTCAGGTAATGATTGTTGAGAAATGCAGTTCAAGTCCGTACAGGACAAAGCTAGTTTACCTCACCTCATCCAAGGAGAATTACATACAATGTACTGAACACATTCAAAGGGAAAGTTATGCAGAAAGATGCATTTCTATTAGATTGATGTATCTGGGAAATATGAGAGACAATGTTTGCTCTAGAGTTCATACACTAGACCTACAGTAGGTAAAGCTATTTTAAAAGCTCTAATACACAACAGTTTATGCCTCAATACCCATCCAAATCGTTATTATATATAAAAAAACCAACACTGCCTTCCAGAAGCTAACAATTTTGAAAAACATTATGAAGCTTTACCTTCTACTAAGATCTGCAACATGCTCCTGAAGCCAGCTTGTGCTGGCAGCTGCAAAAGAAAGAAGGTAATAAAATTACTACGAGTAAAGGTATCCATTTTAAAGTACACTTGAAGTTTTATTTTAAGGGAAGAACCCAATACACTGTGAATGAATAAATGTATCAACAGATTCACTGTCACTTGAAAAAAACCCCAAAGTCTGACTTTTCCAGGCAGTAAAATGCCTGTCTCTCATAACAATCTCAACTGACTAAACACAAATATAATAGCAGATTATAACCATCATAATTATCTTTTATAGAATATAAAGTATAATATATACTTGTAACTATAAACAATTTACAGTTAGTGGGAATGATTTCAAGCCTACTTCACAGTGGAAAAAGTCCCAGGTAAAAGAGCTATTAAGAATTTTTATTACATTAATTTATTTTTAATCCATTAATATATCCATAAAACGTCTTCAAAGTTCTGATATCTGCCAGATGACCTTCACTGGTTGAATCCAAAAGATTGAAAACAAAGGGTACTTCAGCATTAAAATGATACTCATTTATCATATTAATGACTACATACTACTCAGAGAGCCCGATAAGCAAGCTAGAGTTGAGATTCGGATGGCAATTCCAAACTGCATGAAGTTATATTAATGGAGGTAATAGTAATATATACCCACTAGTTAAGAAAGTTACCAGACAAGTTATACCTTGATAAAAATAGGAACATTAAAATGTTTTCCCAATTCTTGTTATAGATCAATTTATCACATACCTTCAGAGACATAAGCAAAAGGCTTATTCCTAATGGAAAGCATTGTAAATAAGTTGAAAAAGAGAGCCACGAAAGTACCAACCAGCAGTCGCCCCCTAGGGAGGGGAAGGAAAAAAAAAAAGTATCTTAATTTCACATCATCACAAAACATGAAATCAAGGTGTAATTACCAGTAACAATATCAGAATACTTTGCTTGGTATCTGTCACTGAGACTGAAAACAAGAGTAAGATAAACTAGTGTAATGCTTAATAACTGGCAGCGTGTTATCATTTTAAGGGTTATATGAGATCACTGAACTTCGCACACTAGTGTTATCACATTAGGCTGTACATAACGTTCATAATGTTGAGTAACAGTCCTTAACTAATTGCACAGAGGCACACACATATATGTTTGTCCTTCGAGGATCTAAATACATTGTCCCCTCAGCAGCAGAACTGAAAAAGCTTAGTTTCCTATGGAATTATGCCCTATGCCCCTACCCTTTTCTAGGAGAACTACAACTTCACCATACATCCCATGTCCCAGTCTTTTGCCCCATAACACCTTCTTTTCCTTTCCCCCTATTCTTTATAGTCTTCATCATCTTTGCAACACCTCCAGTTCCCTAACGATCACAGCATCCTTCCCACCACATACAGGCCTCCTAAGATGCCTCCATAAGAAATGAGAGTAACTCAACTAGCAAAACCAGCAATATATAGTTAAAGCATTATTTAAGAGAGCATGTGCATTACATTTCAATTGTACCTTGAAAAAAAACTGTTTGCAATATAGCTTGCACATAGTTTGAAACAAATGCCAAGGTAGCAAAACCAATTTGGTGTTGAATGTACTGGCATAATTAATACATGCTAGATTAAGAATTAGAAACACAAAGGGACATTGAAAAAACTATCATTTTACATGTCAGAATAATTTCTTACGTGTGTATCTCAGGTTGTTCCAGAAACCGCTCTGCACTACAAAAATAATTAAAAATTTGAGTTACATTCATACAATAAAACCTTGATACCTGAAGCATATTTTTTTCAGTTCTGAAGAATTAGCTGCCATTCATAAACAAAAACTGACAGATACAGTACTGCAAAAAAAATGAATTGCTTAAATAAGCACAGCAGTTTTTATAAGTGATGAAAGCATTTAACACTGAAAAGAAGCAGGGTGTAATTTAGATTTTCCAACTATTTCCGAACTGTGCCACATGGGTGCTAGCTACCATGAATGCTGCCTACACAATAAAAAGATGCTTGTAAATGAACATGCCAAAAAATACTGCTACTGCCACCACCGGTGTTGGTAACCACAACAAACTAAGTCTGAAATCCCTGACTTACATGTAGCCTCTCACTAAGCAAGGCCAAATAAAGTAGGTGTTGGATGCTGTGGTGGAGATACAAATCTTTTTTCACCCACCAGTAAAATAAGAAATGAGCTTCAGCTGTAACAGAAAAACCTATGATAAGTTTTGGGAATTTCCTAAAATTGATGTTCGAAAACTGGAGAGGCTTTGACAGTGCGTCATTATTAGAATTCATTCCAGTGTATTGTCAGTACAACAGATCAACCTGTAGTATAAAACTGCTAAGCTGTTAACATAGCCCTTTATAGAGAAAATAGGGCCCTTGAGTAGAAAAATGAAAGGTACGCTGCCCCAGTTTTAAATTCCAGATGTTAACAAAAGCCTCTTCATTTTTAAAGACTCAAATAATTTTCTAGGCTAACCTCCTGAAATAAAATGCTTTTCCAAGCGTAGATGGTCCGTCAGATTAATACTTGAGCAAATTTTGAGGGACTGATGAAGTTGATAGTATAAACATTCAGATCCTTAATATATTATGAAGTTGCTTTACTTCATGAAGTAACTGAAGTTAAAAAAAAAAGTCAAAAAAGTTGTATTTATTAATGAACTTGAAAAGTCAAGATACATAGGGAAATGCATTAAATGAAATACCTAACTTTTTGGAAAATATGATTCTTAAGAACACTGAGTCTTTTCCTTGAAAGCTGTTTAATTACATTTATCAATTCCTATCACTTCATCTAAAGCCTACATGTAGTGTAATCAATATAAGTGAGCAGTAAGATTTAGCAGTATTGAAAAAAGTGTGAAGTTTTTCCTACAATCTCTCTCTACAGACAGCATTTGTAGAATGCATATGCCTTTGCTCAATCTGGAATATCTTCATACGTAACAAAAAAATTAAAGAAAATGGTACATATCCCTACCTTTCTTTCAGTATAAAAAGAGCACCAAGCTGTGCCAGAACTGTAGATGCAAATACGGCTAGAACTTCAAACCTTTCAAACCTGAAATTTGAGAATTAAGTTTAGAAACACTGAACATTGAACATGCATCAAATGCATTCTGGTCTGTGCAGGAACAAGCAGGATAGACCTACTATTTCAAATTCTTTCAAGAGGAGATAGATGGGAAGAAACTGAAAGTTTTATGGAATAGGCATTATTTTCAATTTCTTTTAAGCTAACACTCCACTTACCACAAACAGCTTAAAATTAAGCATTTCTTAATTCTTTTTCCTGTCCCTCCCCTTTCCTCCGCTTCCCTATTCTGTAACTGTTCTTTACAGCATTAGTCTTGGGTCTCCTTATTTTTAGGCTCTTTTACACACAGATTGTTAGTCACAGCTGTTAGGGGATACAGGCAATGATAGTCAGCAACGTATCAAATGTTGTATTATCAAACACTAGATCTTGTTATTAGTACTTACCCAAATGAATAGACTGGGCTGGGTTTCTTCATCATTACCCAGTAGCTTATTAGACATGTTACCAAACTGAAAAAAGGGAGAGAATTAGACTATGATAAATAACTGCAGCCTTTACAAACTGGATAATCTACAAATATACACTTCAGCCATCAGAACCAAACAAATTAATATAACCACGTCTTACCACGAACTCAGCCCCTCCATCACTGTCACAATGAGGGTCCCAGTGGATCCAGAAAAGGTTGTGCTTGGGAATAAATCTGAGACTGCACGATGATGTCTCAGCTGTTCCCATAAAAAGGACAGCAAATAATTTCAGCGGAATGGTAGTCAGCGTAATTCCTTACACCAGGAGACAGCCTAATGCTGTACTTACGGCACGCTGTGCTTACAAAGGCTACCACCAACCTTCTTCAAAACAGAACATCACTCAGCCTAAATCAAGTTTACCATAACTCCAAATGCAATGCATTTTCCCACAAAACAGCACAACCAGTGTTTAATCTGGATGCACTCCATGAATTTTTCTGAAAGGGACCTGGAGCACGTGAGACCAGGTACCCCAAAATCTGACTAACAGGCAAAGGCGATTTGAGAAAATCCTTTCAATACTGTCTGGCATCACACATAGTCATGTCACGCATATTAATGAAAAGTACAAAGCAAAAGCCTATGAAAATATCAAACTAGACACCCAGTAAATGCTCTTCTTACACGTGCTTTATGAACTTGCCTAGAAATACTGTAACCTGAGAAAGGCCATTTAAGTGAGAAGGAACATGATAAGCAAGACAACAGGACTGTCACATTTGTGTCACTTCCTTTGTATCCCAGTGAAAAAGTGAAGAAAGCTCTCCATTAAACTCTTCTTCTAGAGATATACCATGAATTAGATTTAGCACTCCAGAGTAAGTCTCAGGCTACGCCAAGTATTGCCTTTCTTTTGTACAGTGTAATTTGTCTACACATATGGCCAAAACAGATTTACTTTTTTTGGCTGCATTCATCTACACAAGCTCTAATCTAACTGGCCGTTCACTGACAGCCACAGGTCTCTCTTGCTATTTTCTTTCCAAGTTTTTCTCTCATATTGAACATCTGAAATTTCAATTATTTTATCCCCATGGTACCAGCCTGAATTTTTCTAGGATGAGTCTCATTTCCTTTGCCTGTTTTTCTTCTATTGACCCCTTTGGACAATTTTTTTTTTATTGGAACCCACCCGGATTCAGTGCCATCTGTGCCTTTATGCAGCCCTTTCTTAATTAATGACAATGTTAAATCAGACTAGCTCAAGAACCCATCCCCACAGCTGCTGAACAATCACATCCTCACAACCTGATCCACAGCTGTGTGGAGTAAAAGCAAAAGCAGAGGAAATAATGTTGCTCATATACAAAATAGTAAATTCACATACTCAGTAAGACTATTATAAACGACCAGGAAGGTGACAAAAATGAAGGAACCAGAAACTGATTTTGCAGAATTACTGAGCATTGTTCTCCCTTACAGCAAATCAAAACTCTTGAAAGAGATCGCTGTGAGTTAGAATAATCTTCTAGTCCATCCCCTAATTAACCTAATATGTCAGCGCCAGGGGTATTCCATCTTTTCCTAAAACTAAAAAAATAATATTCTATACAAATACGAAATACAACGTCAAAACTTTCCCCAAAGTGAGAAGGGTATTTTGAGTCAAGATGACAAAACTCAGCAGATACAAAATCCTAAGAGAAATATGAGAGTCATTAAAGTTATATCACAATTCTAATGCAGTCACAGATCAAGTTAAGTATTTTTGTGCCTATATCAAACATTCATTTTCCTTTCTGCATGTTTGCTGCTGTTATTTATACATGTTTTACTATCAGTCAGATAAGCTATAGTATGTAGTGGGCAAAACAGACTGCAGATAGCTGATCCATACTTTTTATAAGCTAGTGAGCTAGCAAGGAAGATAATGTAGGTTAATAATTAAAAAAATACATGCATTTTATGCAGTTTATTTCCAACCACTGCTACCAATCTGCATCTGATGTTAGAACTAAATATATTTCATGTCTGTATTATTGATATTATCAAAAGCATTCAGAACTTTCATACTTAAAGTGGTTTTAATATAATTTTGTTAGGAAACGGGAAAAATACTAAAAATATCTAATGACCTTACTGGAAGAGTGCATGGGATCTAGCTCTTGAAATATTTTGAAATAGAAATAGGATTACATACTCCTTGTTTCCTGATGCTAAAACTGAGGGATACTTCAAAACCAATGACTCTGGCATTAGGGAAATGTTCAGACTTAACCACCAGGTAACAGTTTGATGCTGGATTCTGTTTTATGCTGTTACACATCTGCCCAGAGAAATCCATGACTGAAATGATTTGTTACTAGTCATTCTCAATAGAGCTATGGTGTTTCTCATCATCTGTTTATTGTGATGTACAATTTTATACTCATTTAAGCTGTATTTAAACCAGTTAGTGTTTCTATACTGATGACTTTAAATAACATGTGTTTGTACCTGTAAATAAATTTTATACGTATAGAAATATACAAAGACAGGCACAAATGAACAGTAAGACTAAATGGGAAAAAAACTCACCTGAAAAGGTCAAAGATTGTCAAATATGTATAAGCAGTTAAAGCTGTAAAAAAAGCAAATATTAAAACTTAATATAATTTTTCAATGCAGAAATCACTTGTATTCTTCTAAGTCCCTCTTGTGCAGCTCTTTTCCATCTTCTGTCTACATAATTGTCTCTGCTGATAGAGCAAGTCTCTCTGTCTTTTGTATGTGTATATAATATGAATGTCCTAAACACAGCAATATATTTAACTTCATAAACAGGTTGATTATTGAGATCCTAATTCTAATAAATAATGCCCAGATACAAAAGGTATTAAGCTTGTAACTAAGCTGTGACTAAGAATTTAAACACAGAAAAGTCAGGAGATCTTCTAGTAACACGTCATCTGCCAAAGCAAGAGATCTCTTATGTGCATTATTGCAGTGAAAAGTAGGTTCAACAGAATTTTTAACTTGTTTTGCTTCTCTGACCCATCTTGAAACTGCAAGAAAACCTGTGTCGCAAATTAAAAATGTAAGGCATTCTACTTTCAGTAGAGATGACGGGAAGCATCTTGGAGCCCCTATACAAAAGTAGAAGATCTATAAAATATTGAAAAGGGGGGCATTCCTAGAATCGGAGAAGCCTTTTGCCACACTACAAACATCTTCATTCAACTGCAAGTGAGGGTCTCTGTATGTCACTGGTACTATTTATATAAGGAACAGGTTTGAGGACTAGCTTAAAAGTCTACATTTTTGCAATCTTAAACATAAAGAGGGTACTGCAGGACGAAAATGACCAGCAGGTCTGGAAAACCTTGCAAACTTTGAAGGACTTTCACCCACCCACACTCACCTGCGAGAAATGCCTCTAACCTGACTGTGGCAAATCAAAAGGAAGCACTTTCCAAACCTGGCTGTGCAAGCACCTAACTCCATTATGTGCTGAACTTTGCTGTTTTAGTATGTTGGAACTTCACAAGCTCAGAAACACGTGGCAGTTGGTTGTAGTTTCAGTACAAGAGAGCCACCTACCTATGCTGTTTGTAGAGCTGCACCACATTAGCAGGAAGCCAATACATATTAAATTTATAGCACCAAACAGCAAGATCTTCCAGGACTGTTGATGAGAATAAATACGTATTTTACATCTTACAAAATTTACAAGACAAAAATATATTTATGTGGTTTTAAACAACATTACTGCAGTACTTCATCACGCAAGCAGAACTGGCTTCTCGTCCCTTCCAAAAATTTACAACTCATTTCAGAACAACAAGCCCATATTCTATTTTTAACTTTACAGATTGTCTCAAAACTCATTTATAAACAGCGCTTGTGCACCATGTTTAAAATACCTTTTTGGTCTGAAAAAATCACCCCTGTATAGTATTTGCATTTTATCACAGCACACACCATCTGACGTTTGAAGACAGACTTACACAACTTTATATTAGTGGGTTCCTTTCTTTGTGCTGGAACTTAGGTCCCAAAAGCATCTGTGCATATTCAGTTTACAGTTCTACTGAACACATTAAATATAAGTATATTTCTGGAGAATACTAATTGACAGGGACAATGCACAGGAAGGAATCCAGCTTCACAGCTGGATTTTTTTTTAAGCACAGCTGGAAAATTTCAAAGAAATATTCTCAAAATATACTCAAGTTAATAATGTATTTTAACTTATGACAACTAACGTCTTTTTTATTATTATTCATTTTTAAAAAGAAATACATACCCTCCTATCTGCTGCAACCAGCCTAAATTCATGTGTTAACTTTCCAACCAATGATCTCTGTGATTTGCGGAACAGGTGTATTGTCCCCTTAAAGAAAAAATTAAAGTTTAATTAAAAATTTTACTTAATCCATAGTTTAAATTAGCAAAAAGGAAATCTTCATTTATGAACTATTTTCATAATTATATCAAAGAATCAGAATGAGGTTTTTGTTAACTAGAGATAGCCCATAAACATTAAATTCAGCAATGTTTTTTGATAACTATTTACATAGTTATTATATTAGACAATGATGAATGACTTAGAATCAAGCTTCATTTAGATATAATCCAGAATTCAAGTTTACTGGAAAACATACCAAAATATCATTTAAAGAGTGGTTTTTTACTTTTATTTAAATAGAACTACTACAGATGTTCTGAAAAGACAAACATTTTTCTTTATCAAAGCACACTTCCCGCCCAAAGCCAACTGGTTTTTTAAACAGGAAAATATTGTTTATACATATATAAATCAGAACCCATCAGAGAAATAAAAACCGCGCTGGTATCATCTGTAATCTGGTGGACGCAAGGCCGGTAGCATAATGAGACATACAAACAATCTCAGTCACGGCGACCTAAACGCACACTGTAGATGCAGTCGCTCTAGGTGCTCCCTCTCCTAACTTCTAGTTACATGCAGATAAGCACTTTCCTGGGGTGGCGAGGATGTACGTGTATGTAGGAGATGGGAGCGAGGGGGTGCTACGTGGCTCTCCTGAAAGCGCGACAGGGAGCAGACTACTAGAAAAATTCATCAACCATGCCACTTGCTCCCTTTCCTCAGAGGTCCCAACCTTCTAGTTAGTTGTCCTCAATTCTACTCTCCCCACAAAGAAGGCTTCCACATGCAAAGCCCTTCTGATTTGCAATAGAAATTCATGGACTTGTAATGGACGGTCTGTTACATGCATTAATTTTGGGCTGGATGAAATAAGGTTTGATTGTAAGCTATCACATCTGTAACTGCCAGCAGAAGACAAAAAGACATACTAACAGGCTGGTCACCAAAACAGACTCAATTAACTTACAGACATGTTTGTCAACAGAGCTGTATTTCATATTATCTGTAGAAATACAAGTACGCCTTAGTGCCACGAATTAAAAAAAAGCAGTACTATAGATCCCAAGTTTAGCTCAGCTGGGGCAAAAGGCTGGCCCTTAATATTTTCTTTACTAGCAAACCATTACATGATGATTTTTTCCTCAGTAGAGACATACAAGATGACAGAACACTTTGGAAAGCTTTTCTAACAGGCAGCGGACTGCCTGCATACAAAGGCTGCTCTATTGCCTTAGCACCCATCGCTTTCCCGTGCTGTTAGCACTACATCCATTGCCAAACTGCACTGTGCCACACCTCCCTGCTTACTAAAGGATGCCATGTATTCTGTACCACGGAGGAGAACCTCGTGCAAACCCACGCTTAGCCATAGCTCACCCCTGGAAGCAAGCTCTAATTCAGCAGATGTTGCACTTCTGAAAAGGTTCCCTAGCATTAAAGGTTCCCTAGCTTCTAAACTTCTGGCGACACAATGGAGAGAAACACCTCTGTGCTGACCAGGAGGGCAGCCAGCCCATGCCTCAGCCACTGAAAGTCCCCATGTGGCGCTAGAACAGCTGTACAAGAAGTATCTCTGCGCGTGTGCGCATCTGCTCCAACAACGCCAACGGGTGACGGTACCTGTTATCAATACTGATGTCAATTCACTTGCGCTCCGCATAAAAAGGTAAAGTTTAGACACCCAGCTGAACAAGCACACGCAGTGGTCATTCCCAGAAGAATGACTTTTCTTCTTTGGGAAGCGAGCCATACGTACCAGGAGTAGCAGTCCCGCGCTTTCGCTGACACGCGGGAGCAATGGCAATATAACCTGATCGTCCTGATGTGAATTTCAGTTCCCCGACCCCTTTGGCAGGGGGTTGAACGAAAGCTTTCAGGCTGAGACCGAGACTCAAACCGTAACCGTAGCCCAGCTACGGGCCTGAGCGCCCATCACTCGTTCGAGACGCACCTCCAGCGGAGAAGCCCTCCACGACGCCCAGCACCCATCCCGCCCCTGCCAGCTCGGCACCTGCCCGCAGGGCCGGCTGTCCGCTGCCCAGCGGCCGGGGCCTACGCGCCCACCGCGGCCCCGGAGAGCCACCGGTGATCGGGGAAACCGCGTGCGGGGGGAGGCCGAAGGGGAAGTACTACATGGAGAGCCGCGGCGCGCGCTCCTCCCGGG